CCCCCCTTTCCTTGACACCACCCTTCCCGGGGAAACCAAACCTTCCCCTTTACACCACCTTCCCCCCTTTACCCCCTCCCTTTACAAACCCCCTCCCCTTTACACCACCCCCTTGACACCACCTTACTTGACACCCCCTCCTTTGACACCACCTCCCCTTTACACCACCCCCCTTTTACCCCCACCTCCCTTGGGCACCCCCTTTCCCCTTTTCCCCCACCTCCCCTTTAAAACCACCTCCCCTTTAAAACCAAACCCCCCTTGCACCCCCCTCCCTTTACACCACCCCCCCCTTGACACCCCCTCCCTTTACACCACCTCCCCTTTACCCCCACCTCCCAGACACCACCCCCTTGACACCACCTCCCCCGGGCACCACCCCCCTTGAACCACCCCCATTTTTTCACCACCTTTCCCGCACCCCCCTCCCTTGACACCACCCCCCTGACACCCCCTCCCTTGGGCCCCACCTCCCCTTTAAAATCACCTCCCCTTTACACCACTCCCTTTTACATCACCTCCCTTGACACCAACCCCCCTTGACACCACCCCCCTTTTAACCCCTCCCTTGACACCACCCCCCTTGGGCACCACCCCCCTTGGGCACCACCTCCCTTGGGCCCCCACCTCCCCTTTTACACCCCCCTCCCCTTTTCATAAACCCCCCCTTGACACCCCTCCCTTGACACCCCTCCCCCTTTACAAACCCTCCCTTGGGCCCCACCTCCCCTTGGGCACCCCCCCCTTTTACACCACCTCCCTTGACACCACCTCCCCTTGGGCACCACCTTACTTGACACCCCTTAAATTGCACCACCTTCCCTTGGGAAACCCCCTTCCTTGACACCACCTCCCTTTACCCACCTCCCCCTTTTTCACCACCTCCCCTTTACACCCCTCCCTTTTACACCCCTTTTTGACCCACCCTTTCCCTTTAAAACCACCTTCCCTTTACACCACCTCCCCTTTTCACCACCTCCCTTGACACCCACCTCCCCCTTTAAAACACTCCCCCTTTACACCACCTACTTTACACCCCTCCCTTTTAAAACCAAACCCCCCCTTGACACCAAATCCTTGCACCACCCCCCTTGCCCACCTCCCTTGACACCACCTCCCTTGGGGCACCCCTCCCCCCTTGGAACCCCCCTTACTTGCACCCCTTCCTTTTACACCCCTCCCTTGAACCAACCCCCCTTGGGCACCGCCTCCCTTGGGCACCCCCTCCCCTTTACACTTTCCTCCCTTGACCCATCTCCCTTGACACCAACCCCCCTTGGGCCCACCTCCCCTTGGGCCCCCACCCTTACATGGACACCCCCCTTCCTTGAAAAACCACCCCCTTGGGGGGCCCACCTCCCCTTGGAAACCCCCTCCTTGACACCCCTCCCCTTTTTACACCCCTCCCCTTGAAAACCCCCCTTACTTGGACACCCCCCTTACTTTAACCACCCCCCTTGACACCACCCCCCCTTGACACCACCTCCCTTGACACCCCTCCCCCTTTACACCCCCTCCCCTTGACACCACCTCCCCTTGGGCCCCCACCTCCCCTTTACACCCCCCTCCCCTTTACACCACCTTAAAATGACACCACCCCTTTCCCTTTACCCACCTCCCTTGGGCACCACCTCCCTTGGACACCACCTCCCTTGACAACCCCCTCCCTTGACACCCCTCCCCTTTACACCACTTTCCCCTTACCCACCTTTCTTTTCACCCCTTTTCCCTTTAAACCCCATTCCTTGACACCACCTTTCCTTGGGCCCCCACCTTTTCCTTTTAAACCACCCTTTTTTGACACCCCCCCCTTCATTTACCCCCCCTTCCTTGACCCACCTCCCTTGGGCATCCCCCCCTTCCTTGACACCACCTTCCTTTACACCACCTTTTGACACCCCCTTCCTTGCAAAACCCCTTTTTTGGCACCCCTTTTCCTTTACACCCCCTTCCTTTTACACCACCTTCCTTGCACCACCCCCCTTGACACCACCCTCCCCTTGAAAACCACCTCCCTTTCCCCCACCTCCCTTGAACCCCTCCCTTTGGGCCACCCCCTCCTTGGGCACCACCTTCTTTTACCCACCCCTTGGAACCCAAATTTTGGGGACACCTTTTTTGGGGCCCCCTTTCCCTTTAAAACCCCCTTCTTGGGCAACTTTCATTGACCCCTTTCCTTTAACCCTCCTTACAAAAACCCTTCCTTAAACCTTTCCTTACCCATTCCTTCAACCTTTGGGGAACCCCCTTTTTGGCCCCACCTTCCGCCCCCCTTTTAACCCCTTTCCTTTGGCCCCTTCCCCCCCATTTTGGGGGGGCCAACCCCCCTTTCCCCTTTCCCTTCAATTTTTCAACCCATCCTTGCAAATTCCTTGAACCCTTCCTTCCCCTCTTCCTTTAAAAAACCCTTTTCCCTGACCCAAACCTTCCTTTATCCAAATTTTTACCCAATTTTGAAATTTTAGCCCCCCTTTCCTTCACAACTTTTAAACACCTTTTTTCAAAACCCTCTTCCCCGGAAATTTTAAACCAATTCCTTTAAACCACCTTCCTTAAAATTCCCTTAACCCCCTTTTAAAAATTCCTTTCCCCAAAATTCCTTCAAAACTTCCCTTTTAAAAAAGGGGTTTAAAAATTCCTTAACAATTTTTTCACAAAAAGGCCCTCCTTAAAACCCTTTTAACACCACCTTTTAAAAAATTCCCTTAAAAATTTTTAAGGGCCCCTCTTAAAATAAACCCTTTTTAAAAATTCAATTTCCCCCCAAATTTCCTTCACCCCACCCTTCCCTTTTAAAAACCACCTTTCCTTCACCGCCCCTTAAAACCCCCTTCCTTCCCCACCCCCCTTCCCCTTCCCCACCACCTTCCCTTTACACCACCCTTTCCCTTTACACCACCCTTTCCCTTACACCCCCTTCCTTCACACCACCTTCCCTTTACCCCACCTTCCTTCACCCAACTTCCTTCACACCACCTTCCTTTTCCCCCACCTTCCTTTTACACCCCTTCCTTTTTTACCCCCCTTCCTTCACCCCCACCTTCCCTTTTACACACCTTCCTTCACACCACCCTTTCCCTTTAAAACCACCTTCCTTCACACCCCCCTTCCTTCACACCACCTTTTTCCTTCACCCCCACCCTTCCTTCCACCACCTTCTTCACACCACCTTCCTTTCACACCACCCTTCCTTTACACCACCTTCCTTCACACCCCCTTCCTTAACCCCCCCCTTTTCCCTTTACACCCCCTTCCTTCAACCCTTCCTTTAACCACCCCTTCCCCTTTACACCCCTTCCTTCACACCCCCCTTTTTCCCTTACCCCCACCCTTTTCCCTTTACACCCCCCTTCCTTCACACCACCTTTTCCTTTTACCCCCACTTCCCTTTCCCCCAAACCTTCCCCCGACTTGGGGAAGGGGTTTTTGCACAAATTCAAATTAGTGCCCCGAGGGGGTTAGGGGGCCCCGGGCCTTGTTTGGGGTCCCTCACAGGCAAATAACCCGGTTTTGTAAGGGCCACGGGTATGTACTAAAACGCTGTATGTACTACACGTGTATTTTCTAACGGTATGTACTTCACGCTGTATGTACCAGCCCGAACTTAATTTCTCTCCTTTAAACCCCCTTTGAAAAACTTTTCCATAGTGGTTTGTGAGGAAAACCACTGCCCAACACTGGTAAAGGTTTTTTTTATAGTTACAGTAAATTTTTATTTTAATACCTAAAATCTTCGCTCTTTTAACAATATTTTCGATTTTTTTAAATATTTAAAAATTTTTATAATTATGTTTCTTCCAAACAGATTTCTATAATCACTTTAATAGGAGTAGAGGATTTTTCACGGGGGCCCGTTTTTTGGGGTGTGGCTGGTATCGTGGGTTCAGTCAGAGGTGTTTATGGGGTACTATATCCCCCTCCTGAGTGTTGGGAGAAGTGGTGGTACATGGGTTTTCAGTCGGGGTTTTTAGTGGTATTATTCACACCCTACTTTAGGGGAGTGGTGGTATCGTGGGTTCATCAAGGTTTTATGGGGGTACTATACTCACCGAGCTTTTGGGAGAAGTGGCTGGTATCGTGGTTCAGTCAAGGTGTTTATTGGTCTATACTCACCGACTGTTGGAAAAGGGCTGGTATCGGGGTTCAGTCAAGGTGTTTATGGGGTACTATCCACCTGATTTTTGGGAGAAGTTGCTGGTATCGTGGGTTCAGTCAGAGGTGTTTATGTGGTACTATACTCACCTGAGCTGTTGGGAGAAGTGGCTGGTATCGTGGGTTCAGTCAGAGGTGTTTATGTGGTACTATACTCACCTGAGCTGTTGGGAGAATGGCGGGTACGGGGGTTCGTCAGGGTGTTTTGGGGTATTATACTCACCCCCGAGCTTTTGGGGACAAGGGCTGGTATGTGGGTTCGTCGGGGTTTTTATGTGGTATTATACTCCCCCCCTGAGCTGTTGGAAAAATGGCGGGTTTATCGTGGTTCAGTCAGGGTTTTTTAAATTTGGTATAACTCACCCCCTGAGCTGTTGGGACAAGTGGCTGGTATCGTGGGTTCAGTCAGAGGTGTTTATGTGGTATTATACTCACCCCCTGAGCTGTTGGGACAAGTGGCTGGTATCGTGGGTTCAGTCAGAGGTGTTTATGTGGTATTATACTCACCCCCTGAGCTGTTGGGACAAGGGGGCTGGTACGTGGTTCAGTCAGAGGTGTTTATGTGGTACAATACTCATAGCTTTTGGGAGAAGGGGGCTTTTTATCGTGGGTTCAGTCAAGGGTTTATGGGGTATTATACTCACCCCTGAGTTTTGGGGGAAAGTGCTGGTATCGGGGTTCTCATACTGTTTATGTGGTTTATACTCACCTCCTAGCTTTTTGGGGGAAGTGGCTGGTATCGGGGGGTTCAGTAAGGTGTTTATGTGGTATTACTCACCTCCTACTTTTGGGGGGAAAATGGCGGGTATCGGGGGTTCAGTCAGAGGTATTTATGTGGTGGAACTCACCCCTGAGCTGTTGGGAAAAGGGTTGGTCTGTGGGTACAGAAAGAAGTGCTGGAATCAGTGTTGTTGATAGCAAAGTAAAGATGACCCAGCAAGAAAACCAGTTCTCGATGCTTAGTCGGATGGCCTTCTTGCTGAGTAAAAAAATGTACACAGAGTTTAGACAGAATATTTAAACACTGTATACAACCCGACAAAAATCGCAGTCATCGACCCCAAATTTGTATATACTGGAAGCTACTAAATTTAAATAACATTAGAAACGTATCAAGCAGGCGAACAGCACCTACCCAGCAACACGTATCTCATCTCTCCCGTCCCATCCAATCTATATTTTTTAGGTCCCCATGCGTCACTCACACCTCACTCAGGGTCCCATGCTCACTCACACCTACTCAGGTCACCAGCGTCCTCACACCTCATCATCACCATGCGTCACTACACCTCCCCTCAGGTCACCAGCGTCACTCACACCTCACTCGGGTCACCAGCGTACTCACACCTCACCAGGTCACCATGCGTCATCACACCTCACTCAGGTCACCATGCGTCATCACACCTACCCTCCGCCGTATATGTTGAAGTAATCAAGGCAAAAGCCCCAAAAATTTTTTTCTAATACTTCTTACTTTTGTTTGTCCTTGGTTTGTTCACGGTCTTTTTAAACCCCAATTGGGGTTATCTGCTAACAAGGTTTGTGCCAACATCGGGCTACTTAAGCTTTAAACGTTCCGCCAGGGGAAGGTTTCTACAGTAAAATACAGGAATAAATACAAAAAAAAACGGGAGTAAAAACCGGAAAAAATGGATCGGTCGATCAGTCGGAACGACGGGGGAAAATACTTTCCCTCCTATCTCTAACAACGTAGAGTCGGTATGAGGGTCGGGAACCCAAAACAACATTCCCCCTGACTTGCCTTAGTCACATGAAAATTCGCACTGGAGCTTCGGTCGCTGTTTTGAGGCCTTCTGCGGGCTTACCCCAACCCCCCCCCCCACCCCTTTTAAAAAAATTTGATTATTAAAAAATTTAAACTGACATAAAAAAAGCTTTATATAGAGTCCCAAAAGAAGGTGAGAAGTCAAGAAACATCAAAGGTGAAGGGGAGAAGGGAAAGACATCAGAAGGGGAAGGCGAGAAAAACAGGGGAAGACATCAGAAGGGAATGAGAAGGCAGGAAACATCAGAAGGGGAAGGTGAGAAGGCAAAAAACATCAGAAGGTGAAGGTGAGAAGTCAGAAAACATCAAAGGGGGAGGTGAGAAGAGGGAAAACATAGAAGGGGAAGGGGAGGAATCAAAACATCAAAGTGAAGGTGAGAAGTCAAAAGGGAAAAATCAGAAGGGAAGGGGAAGAAGTCAGGACGACTCAAGGTGAAGGGAGAAGTCAGGAAGACATCAAAGGTGAAGGTGAGAAGTTTAGGAAACATCAAAGGAAAGGGGGAGAAGTCAGGGGACACAGAAGGGGAAGGTGAGAAGTCATGAAGACAAAAAAGGTGAAGTGAGAACGGAAGACATCAAAGGTGAAGGGAGAAGTCAGGGAAAACATCAGAAGGTGAAGGCGAAAAGCAGAAGGACATAAAGGTGAAAGGGGAGAAGTCATGAAAAATAAAAGGGAAAGGTGAGAAGTCAGGGGAAAAAACCACAAGGTGAAGGGGAGAAGTCAGGGAAAAACCACAAGGTGAAGGGGAGAAGCAGGAAGACACCAAAAGGGGAAAAGGGGAAATCAGGAAAACATCCAAGGTGAAGGTGAAAGTCAGGAAAACACCACAAGGTAAGGGTGAAATCAGGGAAAACATCACAAGGGGGAAGGTGAGAAAACAGGGGAAAACATCAGAAAGGGGAAGGTGAGAAGTCGGGGAAAAACCACAAGGTGAAGGTAGGGCAGGAAGACACCACAAGGTGAAGGTGGAATCAGGGAAAACACACAAGGTGAAAGGGAGAAGTCAGGAAGACACCACAAGGGAAGGTGAAAAGTCAGGGAGACACCCAAAGGGAGGTGAGAAGTCAGGAAGACAAACCACAAGGTGAAGGGGGAGAAGCCCCGGAAGACACCACAAGGGGAAGGGGAGAATCAGGAAGACAACCCCCAAAGGGGAAGGGGAAAGTCGGAAAAACACCACAAGTGAAGGGGAGAAGTCGGGGGGAAACACACAAGGTAAGGTAGAAGTCGGAAAACACCACAAAGGGAAGGTGAAAGTCAGGAAAACACCACAAGGTAAGGGGAGAAGTCAGGGAAACACCACAAGGTGAAGGTGAGAAGTCAGGAAGACACCACAAGGTGAAGGTGAGAAGTCAGGAAGACACCACAAGGTGAAGGTGAGAAGTCAGGAAGACACCACAAGGTGAAGGTGAGAAGTCAGGAAGACACCACAAGGTGAAGGGGAGAATCAGGAAAAACACCACAAGGTGAAGGTGAGAATCAGGGGAAAACACCACAAGGGGAAGTGAGAAGTCAGAAGACCCCAAGGGAAAGGGGAGAAGTCAGGAAGACACCACAAGGTGAAGGTGAGAAGTCAGGAAGACACCACAAGGTGAAGGTGAGAAGTCAGGAAGACACCACAAGGTGAAGGTGAGAAGTCAGGAAGACACCACAAGGTGAAGGTGAGAAGTCAGGAAAGACACCACAAAGGGGAAAGGGGAAAGTCGGAAACACCACAAGGTAAGGTGAGAAGTCAGGAAGACACCACAAGGTGAAGGTGAGAAGTCAGGAAGACACCACAAGGTGAAGGTGAGAAGTCAGGAAGACACCACAAAGGGGAAGGGGAGAAGTCAGGAAACACCACAAGTGAAGGGAGAAGTCAAAGACACAACAAGGTGAAGGGAGAATTCGGGAAAAACCACAAGGGGAAGGTGAGAAGTCAGGGAAAACACCCCCAAGGTGAAAGGGGAGAAGTAGGAAGACCCACAAGGGGAAGGGGAGAAGAGGGGAAGACACCACAAGGTGAAGGTAGAAGTCAGGAAACACCACAAGGGGAAGGGGAGAATCAAAACACCACAAGGTGAAGGTGAGAAAGGGCAGGAAGCACCACAAGGGGAAGGTGAGAATCAGGAAGACACCACAAGGTGAAGGGGGGAAAATCGGGAAAAACACCACAAGTGAAAGGGGGAACTCAGGAAAACACCACAAGGTGAAGATGAAAAATCAGAAGACACCACAAGGTGAAGGGGAGGTCCGGAAGCACCAAAAAGGTGAAGGGAAAGTCAGAAAACCCCAAGGTGAAGGGGAGAAGTCAGGAAGACACCCCAAGGGGAAGGTGAGAAGTCAGAAGATATCCCAAGGGGAAGGTGAGATCAGGAAAAACCCAAAAAGGTGAAGGTGAGAAGTAGGAAGCCCACAAGGGGAAGGTGAGAAGTAGGAAACACCACAAGGTGAAGGTGAGAATCGTAAAACACCCCAAGGTGAAGGTGAGATGTCAGGGGAAAACACCAAAGTGAAGGTGAAAGTCAGGAAGACACCACAAAGGGGAACGTGGAAGTCAGAAACACCACAAGGTGAAGGTGAAAGTCAGGAGTATCACAAGGGGAAGGGGAGAAGTCAGGAAGATACCACAAGGTAAGGTGAGAATCAGGAAGAAACCACAAGGGGAAGGTGAAAGTCCCGGGGCACCACAAGGTGAAGGTGAGAATCGGAAACACCACAAGGAAGGTGAAAGCAAAAACACCCAAATGAAGGTGAGAATCGGGAAAAACCACAAGGTGAAGGTGAGAAGTCAGGAAGACACCACAAGGTGAAGGTGAGAAGTCAGGAAGATATCACAAGGTGAAGGTGAGAAGTCAGGAAGACACCACAAGGGGAAGGGGAGAAGTCAGGGGAACCACAGGGGAAGGTAGAAGTCGGGAAAACACCCAAGGGAAAAGGGAAGTCAGGGAAAACACCAAAGGTAAGGTGAAAGTCAGGAAGACACCACAAGGGGAAGGTGAGAATAGGGAAGACACCACAAGGGGAAAGGGGAGAAGTCAGGAAGCACCCCAAGGTGAGGTGAGAATCAGGAAAAACACCCAAAGTGAAAGGGGAGAAGTCGGGAAAACACCCCCAAAGGGGAAGGGGGAAGTCAGAAGACACCACAAGGGGAAGGGGAGAAATCAGGAAGACACCACAAGGGGAAGGTGAAAGCAGGGAAAACACCACGAAGTCGCGGTGCACCTAGAGGCAAAAGTAGGGTTCCCAATGTTACCCTGTGTCTTCTTTCCTACTTTTATATACTCACATCACATTGATGAACACAGCTAACATTGATGATCACATCATCATTTGATGAACACAGCATAACATTTAGGATACACATCATCCGTGATAAAAAAACCCTACTTGATGATACACAGCATCCATTATAGCCAGCATCATATTGATGATACACAGCTCACATTTATGTCACAGCATCATATTGTGATACCAGCATCCATTGTGATACACATCATCACATTTATGATACACACTCAATTTTATGTAACCCTCATAATTGATGATAAAAACCTCATCCATTGTGATAACATCATCCATTGTGATACAATCATCACATTTATGTACACAGATCACATTGATGAACACGCATCACATTGATGAGCCAGATCATTGTGTACCATCACAATTGATGATACACACATCACATTTTTATGCACAGCATCCAAATTTATATCACGCATCATTGATATACACCGCATCCTTGATATAACTCATACATTGATGTAAAAGCATCCAGAGTACAAGCATCACATTGATGATGCACAGCATCATATTTATGATAAAACACCATTGATGCCTCAACTTTTATGTAACCAGCTCCACCTGAGATAACTTACATTGATGTTTTCCGGGATCAATTTATGATCATGTTTCCAATTTATGTACAACTCTAAATTTATGTACACATCTCAATTGATGATAACATCTCACATTTTATGATACACATCATCAATTGAGATACACACATCCAAAATTTAGTACACATCATCACATTGATGATACACATCATCACATTGATGATACACATCATCACATTGATGATACACATCATCACATTGATGATACACATCATCACATTGATGATACACAGCATCACATTGATGGTATACATGATCACATTGATGATACACATCATCACATTGATGATACACATCATCACATTGATGATACACATCATCACATTGATGATACACATCATCACATTGATGATACACATCATCACATTGATGATACACATCATCACATTGATGATACACATCATCACATTGATGATACACATCATCACATTGATGATACACAGCATCACATTGATGATACACAGCATCACATTGATGATACACATCATCACATTGATGATACACATCATCATATTGATGATACACATCACCACCTATGAACCACCTGTGAACCACAGTGAACCACCTGCGTGTACCACTGCGTGGTACACACAGGTGGTACACACAGGTGGTACACACAGGTGGTACTCACAGGTGGTACACGCAGGTGGTGCACACAGGTGGTGCACACTGATGGCACACACAGGTGGTACACACAGGTGGTACACACAGGTGGTGCACACAGATGGCACACACAGGTGGTACACACAGGTGGTACACACAGGTGGTGCACACAGAAGTTAAATAAATCAGGGAACGGGTCGGCTTGTGATTTTTTGGACTTATTTTCCATGGGTTTCCTGGAGTATACCTGGAGAGAGTTGAGGGGGTCAAGGCCCCCGCGGCCCGGTCCATGACCAGGCCTCGTGGTGGATCAGGGCTTGATCCCTGGTTTGTTTGTTATTAAAATTTCATGAATCAGTTTAAGAGATTATTTGACCTACGTTGATTGTAAAGCTCTGGACACCTATATTGTCTCCATACACAGTATTGTACTTCTAGAAATGGCTCCAGAAAAATGGCATAAACCATTGATTAAAACAGTCAGATGGGCCTTTAAAAGTGCTCCATTTTTGATATTCTAAGGTAAGTAACGTATAAATGACGTCAACATGGAGCAGCTTCCAGCTAACAAGTCTCCCGGGGATCTGAATTACCCTTTTCTCGGAAGATTATTGTTTATTGGGATTAGAGCACGGAGGATAAGATAAGATTTCGTTCGGATTTTTAATCCCGAAGGGTTAGCCACCCAGGATAACCTAAAAAATGTCAATGCGTCATCGAGGACTGTCTGTCTTATTTCCATTGTGGTCCTCAGTCTTGTCCCCCAGGATGCCACCCACACCAGTCGACTAACACCCAGGTACCTACTTGCTGCTAGATGAACAGGACGACAGGTGTAAAGAAACGCGTCGAAATGTTTCTACCCCGCCGGGAATCGAACCCAGGCCCTCCGTGTGTGAAGCGGGAGCTTTGGCAGCCAGGCCACAGGGCCACCTTGCCTGACCCATTTTGTCAGTGACTCATAATGGCTTAGGCCTTCGTATGCATATAAAATAAATACGTTCATAATAAAAAATATATAAATATAATTGTAATAATGGTGAGACCAGCAGACCAGCAGACAGAGAGACCAGCAGACAGAGAGACCAGCAGACCAGCAGACAGTGAGACCAGCAGACAACATCAAGAAATAAGTCTTGTAACATACATTATTTCCGTCACTCACCTGTACACCAGTGATGAAGGGAACTGGTGGCAGAGTGTTGAGAGTGAAAGGTGTGTTGCACTCATTATCCTGTGAGAGAGAGAGAGTGATAGAGTGAGAGGGAGAGAGAGATATATCATTACAGAGTTTACAGACGGCTACATCTCAGCGTGAAACTCACAATGGTTGGCTAGTTAACATCAGTGCTTCGGAAATTTACAGAATTTTACGATCAAAACATTCTTGATCGATGAGATATTAGGTAGCAAGGTGATGAGAACACACAAAACAGAAGAGTTGAGGTGCTTGCATGACTTTGTGCTGACGAAGCAAGGGTCTGGAGTTTTGAGACTCTGATCGCGGGTTCTATCCCCGCCCGTGGTATGGTTTGTTTGCAATCGTGTCATTACGATTTCGTGAATCAGATTCTTTACCCGTTTGTGTTTCTGTTTTCTGTGGTTGAACCACAGCAGCAAGCTATCTCAAGAACTTTGTTAAAACCTTGTAACCACAGAGGATGATGTAAAAGTTGATCCTGGCCTCGCAGTTCTTGTCACTATCGGGTTCACTTTCTCCAGGCTGAAAGGACATTATCATGCCTCTTTTTAAAGGCATTCATAATCCTGCATTTCCCCTTCACTGTCTAAGTTGTTCATCTTCCTTAACCCTTGATGGCTAAAGAAGTATTTCCTAACATCCCGTGACTCATCTATTTTTTTTTAACTACCAGCTGTGTCTTCACGTACGTAAGACCCGTCTCACGATCACACCAGCTGTCTTCACGTACGTAAGACCCGTCTCACGATCACACCAGCTGTCTTCACGTACGTAAGACCCGTCTCACGATCACACCAGCTGTCTTCACGTACGTAAGACCCGCCTCACGATCACACCAGCTGTCTTCTCGTACGTAAGACCCGTCTCACGATCACACCAGCTGTCTTCTCGTACGTAAGACCCGTCTCACGATCACACCAGCTGTCTTCTCGTACGTAAGACCCGTCTCACGATCAGACTCTTCCTGTCCGTCTTATCAATTCCTCTCACAATTTTGTGTTATAATCGTGTCATCTCTGATATTTCTGTCCTCTAGTGGGGTTAGGTTGAACTCCTCCAGCCTGTCATCACTCCTCATATCCCTCAGACATGAGACTAGTATCGCTGTTAAGCCTCTGACCTCTTTCCAGCTTCTATGTATACATTATCAAAGGCAGGTTCCACACTGGCGTTGCATTATCGAAGATGGGGCTGACTTTTAACGTGAATAGTGTTGTAAATGCCTCCTCGTTGAGGTTCCTGGGCAAATATTTTTGTTAGAAGCTTTGGGCCAGTAGGCTTGCCGCGGTGCTCTTCCTTTCTTGCGTTCTTTTTATTTTCCAATGTTGTATTTGCAAGTGCCTCACTTCCATTTTCTATCTCAGAATTCACGGAGAGATGTTATCTGGTGTTATTGCCTTTAAGATATCTAGTTTGATCAGTAATTTCTACTCCTCTTTTTCAGTTGTGTGTATTTTGAGCTGTACTTTTCTGTACACTCTTCTTGTGTTCTGGTATTCTCTTTTTACTCGTCTTTCTCAATCCACTATTTTCATAAATTTGCTTTGCTGAGGTTGTATACTAAACAGAAGCTTGTCAATCAAAGAAAATACCCAGGTCCAGATGTAGTCTTTCCTGGTCTGCTCCTGACTGTTTTCTTCTCATTAGTTTCATACCATCTACAAACATAACACCTCTGACTTGATTCCATCCGTCATGTTGTTTACGTACACAAGAAACAACGTTGTTCCATGTACTGATTCTTGCGGAACCCCATTCATCACATTAGTCCAGTCTGACAACTTCTCACTGACAATAACGCGTTGTTTTCTTCCCGATAATTATTCCTGATCCTCTGTAGTAATTTTCCTGTTATTCTTGACTTTCTCTAACATTTGCCAGTCTCTTGTGAGGTTCTGTATCTAAAGCTTTGTTACAGCAACACTGTGCCATCCACCCAGCCTTCTCACTTCTGTTTAACTTTTATTACCCTTCCATTGAACTCTAGCAGATTCGTGAGACAAGATTTACCAGTCAGACCAGATTCGTGAGACAAGATTTACCAGTCAGACCAGATTCGTGAGACAAGATTTACCAGTCAGACCAGATTCGTGAGACAAGATTTACCAGTCAGACCAGATTCGTGAGACAAGATTCACCAGTCAGACCAGATTCGTGAGACAAGATTCACCAGTCAGACCATATTCGTGATACAAGATTCACCAGTCAGACCAGGGAACGAGTGGGATTTGAACGCATGACGAGTGAGTCCTGAAACTCCTATGCCAGTGTGTTAACCACTCTGCCAGCTGGTTCTAATAAGATTTCTCATCTAGGCTGAGCTTGAGTACCACACAGCCGTGTGGGGTGAGATACGTCTGTAAAAACCATCATCTGTGGCCACAGTGGTGGCCCACGCTAGCTTCCCTATGTGTATAGAAACACAGCTAGTTGTATGAATCATATTAGAGACAGGTGGCCCAGTAGTTAACACACTGACCTGTAAATTTAAAACTAACATGTCATGGGTTCATACAACACCCGTTCCCTGGCTTCTTTATAATCATGTTATTACGATATCGTGAGACGAAATGTGCTGTCTCAAAAACCGTTTTTTTTTTTTTTTTTTTTTTGCTTGTGATTAAGATAAGATTTGTTGGAAATTTTAACCAGGAGGGTTAGCCACCCAGGATAACTCAAGAAAGTCAGTGCGTCATCGAGGACTTATTTCCATTTGGGTCCTTATAATCTTTTCCTTTGGGATGCCACCCCACATCAGTCTACTAACACCCGGGTACCTACTTACTGCTAGGTGAACAGGGACAGCAGGTGTCACGGTTCAATCCCCAGCAATGCAGGGGATTGAACCACGAACACTCAGTGTGCGTGAGGAGAGTTGCCAACCGAGCTACAGGACACATTATTTTCTATTCTTCTCCTGATAATCTTCTCCACACCTTGAGCTATAATACATATCAGTGACTTTGATGTGTACTTTTATGCTACGTGTTCGTGCCCCGTGTTAAATATTCACTGTGTACCACACCTCTGGTCGAGTCCACAGTTCTCCCGCTACATCTCTCAGAATCGACGAATAGATGTTATCTGGTCTCGTTGCCTTTGATGTATCTAGCTTAATCAATGATTTCTACACTTCTGTTGTATGTAGTGTGTACATCGCTCAGTGGTGCACTCTCTTTCATTGGCTATTTCTCGTAAGTTCCTCTCCTACCTTCTTCGCACATTTTATCTGATCCTTCTCAGTTGTCTTTGTATGGGAGAATAACACAATAAGGTGACTGGAACAATGCACTAATAGCCGGCGCATGCAAGACTTATAACGTTATTTTGGTCCTCAAACACAAACCTTCCCGTCTATGTATCGCAGAAAAGGTGAAAAAAAAAGAGAACTAGTAAGGAAATGGGAAATAGAAGGAGGATTTTACCAAAGTGAAGATTAGGACAGTAACTCACCAAAATATCTTGAATGGCTAGTAGCGAGACGTTAGCAAAGTGGATGTTAGTGAGGGCAACTTGCTGCAGCTGTTCGTAGGTCACCAGTGGGTCAAAGGTCGCCAGTGGGTCAGGGTTGTCATCCTGGTTGTTGTGTCGCTGGTACAACAGATGGCAGGGGTTGGTGAGGTAACCTGCGACCTCTGGGATGGTCACTATTGCTACGGTGTCCTCCTGACTACACACTACACCAGCCACCACCACCATCACACCTACACAAGTACCAGGAAGATAGTGCAGAAACTGATCACATGAAGACTGAGACACTTTTACAACGTTTGTAAATCTTTGTTGTGGAAACGTTTCTCTGGCCAGTGGCTTCTTCAGTCTAATACAAACAACAACGGTGGAGGGTGAGGAAAGGTTCGAGGTAATCAGTCCCTCAGCCGGGAGTTGTGTTCAGTCCATCAGTCTTGATCAGTTTTGATGGAATGAACATATCAGCTCCAGGCTGAGGGACTGATTACCTCAAACTAATTCTCGTCTTCCACCGTTCATCTCTACATAGGACTAAAGAAGCCACTGGCTGGAGAAATGCTTCCACAATAAACATTATAATTGTTACACAAGGTGTTCCATTCATTATAGTTATATTGCATTACATTAGGTGTCTCATAATTATGTTGCATTACTTTCTCTCATTCATAGTTATATTGAATTACATTAAGCACTAAACACAGGTTCAGATATTCGACGAGGCTCGGTCTTCTGACTATTAACTGTAATTCAATCACTGACTAGTCAGGTCTACAATTCAATCACTGACTAGTCAGGCCTATAATTCAATCACTGACTAGTCAGGCCTATAATTCAATCACTGACTAGTCATGCCTATAATTCAATCACTGACTAGTCAGGTCTACAATTCAATCACTGAGTAGTCAGGCCTATAATTCAATCACTGACTAGTCAGGTCTACAATTCAATCACTGACTAGTCAGGCCTATAATTCAATCACTGACTAGTCGGGTCTACAATTCAATCACTGAGTAGCCAGGCCTATAATTCAATCACTGACTAGTCAGGTCTACAATTCAATCACTGATTAGTCAGGCCTATAATTCAATCAATGACTAGTCAGGTCTTCAATTCAGTCACTGAGTAGTCAGGATTCTAATTCAATCACCGACTAGTCAGGCCTATAATTCAATCACTGACTGGTCAGGTCCACAATTCAATCACTGAGTAGTCAGGCCTATAATTCAATCAAAGACTAGTCAGGCCTTCAATTCAATCACTGATTAGTCGGGCCTATAATTCAATCAAAGACTAGTCAGGTCTTCAATTCAATCACTGAGTAGTCAGGCCTATAATTCAATCACTGACTAGTCAGGGTTATAATTCAATAACTGACTAGTCAGGTCCACAATTTAATCACTGAGTAGTCAGGTCTGTAATTCAATCAATGACTAGTCAGGTCCACAATTTAATCACTGACTAGTCAGGGTAATAATTCAATCACTGACTAATCAGGGTAATAATTCAAATGCTGACTAGTCAGGGTAATAATTCAATCACTGACTAGTCAGGCCAATAATTCGATCACTGACTAGAAAGGCCTATAATTCAATCACTGACTAATCTGGCAAATAATTCAATCACTGACTAGTCAGGTCTACAATTCAATCACTGATTAGTCAGGCCTATAACTCAATCACTGACTAGTCAGGTCCACAATTTAATCACTGAGTAGTCAGGCCTGTAATTCAATCACTGACTAGTCAGGTCCACAATTTAATCATTGACTAGTCAGGGTAATAATTCAATCACTGACTAATCAGGGTAATAATTCAAATGCTGACTAGTCAGGGTAATAATTCAATCTGACAAGTCAGGCAGATAATTCGATCACTGACTAGAAAGGCCTATAATTCAATCACTGACTAATCTGGGAAATAATTCAATCAAAGACTAGTCAGGTCTTCAATTCAATCACTGAATAGTCAGGCCTATAATTCAGTCACTGACTAGTCAGGCCTATAATTCAATCACTGACTAGTCAGGTCCACAATTTAATCACTGACTAGTAAGGATAATAATTCAATCACTGACTAGTAAGGATAATAATTCAATCACTGACTAGTCAGGCCAATAATTCAATCACTGATTAGAATGGCCTATAATTCAATCACTGACTAATCTGGGTAATAATTCAATCATTGACTAGTCAGGGTAATAATTCAATCACTGACAAGTCAGGCCAATACTTTGATCACTGACTAGAAAGGCCTATAATTCAATCACTGACTAATCTGGGTAATAATTCAATCACTGACTAGTCAGGTCTACAATTCAATCACTGATTAGTCAGGCCTATAATTCAATCAAAGACTAGTCAGGTCTTCAATTCAATCCCTTAATAGTCAGGCCTATAATTCAGTCACTGACTAGTCAGGCCTATAATTCAATCACTGACTAGTCAGGTCAACAATTCAATCACTGAGTAGTCAGGCCTATAATTCAATCACTGACTAGTCAGGTCCAAAATTTAATCACTGACTAGTCAGGGTAATAATTCAATCTCTGACTAGTCAGGATAATAATTCAATCACTGACTAGTCAGGCCAATAATTCAATCACTGATTAGAAAGGCCTATAATTCAATCACTGACTAATCTGGGTAATAATTCAATCATTGACTAGTCAGGGTAATAATTCAATCACTGATTAGTCAGGCCTATGATTCAATCACTGAGTAGTCAGGCCTATAATTCAGTCACGGAGTAGTCAGGCCAATAATTCAATCACTTACTAGTCAGGCCTACAATTCAATCACTGACTAGTCAGGTCCAAAATTCAATCAGTGAGTAGTCAGGCATATAATTCAATCACTATGTAGTCAGGCCTATAATTCAATCACTAAGTAGTCAGGCCTATAATTCAATTGCTAAGTAGTCAGGCCTAAAATTCAATCACTAAGTAGTCAGGCCTGTAATTCAATAACTGAATAGTCAGGCCTATAATTCAATCACTAAGTAGTCAGGCTTATAATTCAATCACTAAGTAGTCAGGCCTAAATTCAGTCACTAAGTAGTCAGGCCTATAATTCAATCACTGAGTAGTCAGGGTAATAATTCAATCACTGGCTAGTCATGGTAATAATTCAATCACAGAGTAGTCAGGCCTATAATTCAATCACTGACTAGTCAGGATAATAATTCAATCACTGAATAGTCAGGGTAATAATTCAATCACAGAGTAGTCAGACCTATAATTCAATCACTGACAAGTCAGGATAATAATTCAATCACTGACTAGTCAGGGTAATAATTCAATCACTGACTAGTCAGGGTAATAATTTAATCACTGACTAGTCAGGGTAATAATTCAATCACAGAGTAGTCAGGCCTATAATTCAATCACTGACTAGTCGGGGTAATAATTCAATCACTAACTACTCAGGGTAATAATTTAATCACTGACTAGTCAGGGTAATAATTCAATCACTGACTAGTCAGGGTAATAATTTAATCACTGACTAGTCAGGGTAATAATTCAATCACAGAGTAGTCAGGCCTGTAATTCAATCACTGACTAGTCAGGCCTATAACTAAACCTGCTGATCATTAGAACCCACAAAAATAACTCCCACAAAAAATAATATTAACTCTTAATAGGCACTAACATAATTATTTTAACTATTTTTCCTCTGTACCATAGACATACAAGATAACAATTATATTCGTCTTTTAGCAGCTGCCATAGTCAGACTCCCATAATCATCACTGTGGGAGTCTGTGGGCATCACTGTGGGAGTCAGTGGTCATCACTGTGGAAGTCTGTGGTCATCACTGTGAGAGTCTCTGGTCATCACTGTGGGAGTCTGTGGTCATCACTGTGAGAGTCTGTGGTCATCACTGTGGGAGTCTGTGGTCATCACTGTGGGTGTCTGTGGTCATCACTGTGGGTGTCTGTGGTCATCACTGTGGGAGTCTGTGGTCATCACTGTGGGTGTCTGCGGTCATCGCTGTGGGTGTCTGTGGTAATCACTGTGGGTATCTGTGGTTATCACTGTGGATGTCTGTGGTCATCACTGTGGGTGTCTGTGGTCATCACTGTGGATGTCTGTGGTCATCACTGTGGGAGTCTGTGGTCATCACTATGAGAGTCTGTGGACATCACTATGGAAGTCTGGTCATCACTACGGGAGTCTGGTCATCACTATGGGAGTCAGATCATCGCTATGGGAGTCTGATTATCACTATAGGAGTCAGATCATCACTATGGGAGTCAGATCATCACTATGGGAGTCTGATCATCACTATGGGAGTTTGGTCATCACTATGGGAGTCTGGTCATCACTATGGGAGTCTGATCATCACTATGGGAGTTTGGTCATCACTATGGGAGTCTACTCATCACTATGGGAGTCAGATCATCACTATGGGAGTCTGGTCATCACTATAGGAGTCTGGTCATCACTATGGGAGTCAGATCATCGCTATGGGAGTCTGATTATCACTATGGGAGTCAGATCATCACTATGGGAGTCAGATCATCACTATGGGAGTCTGATCATCACTATGGGAGTTTGGTCATCACTATGGGAGTTTGGTCATCACTATGGGAATCTGATCATTACTATGGGAGTTTTGTCATCACTATGGGAGTCTGGTCATCACTGTGGGAGTCTGTTCATCACTATGGGAGTCTGGTCATCACTATTGGAGTCTGGTCATCACTATGGGAGTCTGGTCATCACTATGGGAGTCTGGTCATCACTATGGGAGTCAAATCATCACTGTGGGAGTCTGGTCATCACTATGGGAGTCAGATCATCACTATGGGAGTCTGGTCATCACTATGGGAATCTGGTCATCACTATGGGAGTCAGATCATCACTATGGGAGTCTGGTCATCACTATGGAAGTCTGGTCATCACTATGGAAGTCTGGTCATCACTATGGAAGTCTGGTCATCACTATGGGAGTCTGGTCATCACTATGGGAGTCTGGTCATCACTATGGAAGTTTGGTCATCACTATGGAAGTCTGGTCATCACTATGGAAGTCTGGTCATCACTATGGAAGTCTGGTCATCACTATGGAAGTCTGGTTATCACTATGGGAGTCTGGTCATCACTATGGGAATCTGGTCATCACTATGGGAGTCAGATCATCACTATGGGAGTCTGATCATCACTATGGAAGTCTGGTCATCACTATGGAAGTCTGGTCATCACTATGGAAGTCTGGTCATCACTATGGGAGTCTGGTCATCACTATGGAAGTTTGGTCATCACTATGGAAGTCTGGTCATCACTATGGAAGTCTGGTCATCACTATGGGAGTCTGGTCATCACTATGGAAGTCTGTTCATCACTAAGGAAGTCTGGTCAACACTATGGAAGTCTGGTCAATACTATGGAAGTCTGGTCAACACTATGGAAGTTTGGTCATAACTATGGGAGTCTGGTCATCACTATGGAAGTCTGGTCATCACTATGGGAGTCTGGTCATCACTATGGGAGTCTTGTCATCACTATGGGAGTCTGGTCATCACTATGGGAGTCTGGTCATCACTATGGGAGTCTTGTCATCACTATGGGAGTCTGGTCATCACTATGGAAGTCTGGTCATCACTATGGGAGTCTGGTCATCACTATGGAAGTCTGGTCATCACTAAGGAAGTCTGGTCAACACTATGGAAGTCTGGTCAACACTATGGAAGTCTGGTCATCACTAAGGAAGTCTGGTCAACACTATGGAAGTCTGGTCAACACTATGGAAGTTTTGTCATCACTATGGAAGTCTGGTCAACACTATGGAAGTCTGGTCATCACTAAGGAAGTCTGGTCAACACTATGGAAGTCTGGTCAACACTATGGAAGTCTGGTCAACACTTTGGAAGTCTGGTCAACACTATGGAAGTCTGGTCAACACTATGGAAGTCTGGTCATCACTATGGAAGTCTGGTCAACACTATGGAAGTCTGGTCATCACTATGGAAGTCTGGTCAACACTATGGAAGTCTGGTCAACACTATGGAAGTCTGGTCATCACTATGGAAGTCTGGTCAACACTATGGAAGTCTGGTCATCACTATGGAAGTCTGGTCAACACTATGGAAGTCTGGTCATCACTATGGAAGTCTGGTCAACACTATGGAAGTCTGGTCAACACTATGGAAGTCTGGTCAACACTATGGAAGTCTGGTCAACACTATGGAAGTCTGGTCAACACTATGGAAGTCTGGTCAACAGTATGGAAGTTTTGTCATCACTATGGAAGTCTGGTCATCACTATGGAAGTCTGGTCAACACTATGGAAGTCTGGTCAACACTATGGAAGTCTGGTCAACACTATGGAAGTCTGGTCAACACTATGGAAGTCTGGTCAACACTATGGAAGTTTTGTCATCACTATGGGAGTCTGGTCATCACTAAGGAAGTCTGGTCAACACCATGGAAGTCTGGTCAACACTATGGAAGTCTGGTCAACACTATGGAAGTCTGGTCAACACTATGGAAGTCTGGTCAACACTATGGAAGTCTGGTCATCACTATTGGAGTCTGGTCATCACTATGGAAGTCTGGTCATCACTATGGAAGTTTGGTCATCACTATGGAAGTCTGGTCAACACTATGGAAGTCTGGTTATCACTACGGAAGTCTGGTTATCACTACGGAAGTCTGGTTATCACTACGGAAGTCTGGTCATCACTATGGAAGTCTGGTCAACACTACGGAAGTCTGGTCATCACTATGGAAGTCTGGTTATCACTACGGAAGTCTGGTCATCACTATGAGAGTCTGGTCATCACTATGAGAGTCTGGTCATCACTATGAGAGTCTGGTCATCACTATGGAAGTCTGGTCAACACTATGGAAGTCTGGTCAACACTATGGAAGTCTGGTCAACACTATGGAAGTCTGGTCAACACTATGGAAGTCTGGTCAACACTATGGAAGTCTGGTTATCACTACGGAAGTCTGGTCATCACTATGGAAGTCTGGTCAACACTATGGAAGTCTGGTCAACACTATGGAAGTCTGGTCATCACTACGGAAGTCTGGTTATCACTACGGAAGTCTGGTCAACACTATGGAAGTCTGGTCATCACTACGGAAGTCTGGTCATCACTATGGAAGTCTGGTCATCACTACGGAAGTCTGGTCATCACTATGAGAGTCTGGTCATCACTATGAGAGTCTGGTCATCACTATGAGAGTCTGGTCATCACTATGGAAGTCTGGTCAACACTATGGAAGTCTGGTCAACACTATGGAAGTCTGGTCAACACTATGGAAGTCTGGTCAACACTATGGAAGTCTGGTCAACACTATGGAAGTCTGGTTATCACTACGGAAGTCTGGTCATCACTATGGAAGTCTGGTCAACACTATGGAAGTCTGGTCAACACTATGGAAGTCTGGTCATCACTACGGAAGTCTGGTTATCACTACGGAAGTCTGGTCAACACTATGGAAGTCTGGTCAACACTATGGAAGTCTGGTTATCACTACGGAAGTCTGGTCATCACTACGGAAGTCTGGTTATCACTACGGAAGTCTGGTCAACACTATGGAAGTCTGGTCAACACTATGGAAGTCTGGTTATCACTACGGAAGTCTGGTTATCACTATGGAAGTCTGGTTATCACTATGGAAGTCTGGTCATCACTGTGGAAGTTTGGTCATCACTACGGAAGTCTGGTTATCACTACGGAAGTCTGGTCAACACTATGGAAGTCTGGTCAACACTATGGAAGTCTGGTTATCACTACGGAAGTCTGGTTATCACTATGGAAGTCTGGTCATCACTGTGGAATTTGGTCATCACTACGGAAGTCTGGTCATCACTATCTCTTATTTTCTGAATAAAACCTCAGCATCAATAAGAACAAAAATAAGAAAAGCTCAAAATAAGATTCAGACACTCGGGCAACTTTTGGGAATCTTTATTAACTTCTTCAGTCAAATACAGAGAAGAATGGTGGAAGATGAGGAGGTGTTTGGGGTAATCAGTCCCTCAGCCTGTAGTCTATGTGTTCAGTCCATCAGTCTAGTGTTCGCAATTTGATCAAGACTGATGGACTCAACACATGGATCCTAGGCTGAGGGACTGATTACCTCAAACTTCTCATATTCTACCGTTCATTTCTCTATTGGACTGAAGAAACCACTGAACTGGCGAAACGTTTCCACAATAAAGATTCCCATGTGTTACACAAGTGTTTCATTCATCAAGCTCAGATAAATATTACCTGTGAAAAGAAGTGAAGGAAACGACATCACTTGGAGAAGGTTGATGGCGATACCTGGAGTGTTAAGTATGGCAGGATGTTATTCACTGAGGGAGATACCTGGAGTGTTAAGTATGGCAGGATGTTATTAACTGAGGGAGATACCTGGAGTGTTAAGTATGGCAGGATGTTATTCACTCAGGGAGATACCTGGAGTGTTAAGTATGGTAGGATGTTATTCACTGAGGGAGATACCTGGAGTGTTAAGTATGGCAGGATGTTATTCACAGAGGGAGATACCTATAGTGTTAAGTATGGCAGGATGTTATTCACTGAGGGAGATACCTGGAGTGTTAAGTATGGCAGGATGTTATTAACTGAGGGAGATACCTGGAGTGTTAAGTATGGCAGGATGTTATTCACTCAGGGAGATACCTGGAGTGTAAAGTATGGTAGGATGTTATTCACAGAGGGAGATACCTGGAGTGTTAAGTATGGCAGGATGTTATTCACAGAGGGAGATACCTGGAGTGTTAAGTATGGCAGGATGTTATTCACTGAGGGAGATACCTGGAGTGTTAAGTATGGCAGGATGTTATTAACTGAGGGAGATACCTGGAGTGTTAAGTATGGCAGGATGTTATTCACTCAGGGAGATACCTGGAGTGTTAAGTATGGTAGGATGTTATTCACTCAGGGAGATACCTGGAGTGTTAAGTATGGTAGGATGTTATTCACTCAGGGAGATACCTGGAGTGTTAAGTATGGCAGGATGTTATTCACTGAGAGAGATACCTGGAGTGTTAAGTATGGTAGGATGTTATTCACTCAGGGAGATACCTGGAGTGTTAAGTACGGGAGGATGTTATTCACAGAGGAAGGTACCTGGAGTGTTAAGTACGGGAGGATGTTATTCACTGAGTGAGATACCTGGAGTGTTAAGTACGGGAGGATGTTATTCACTGAAGGAGGTACCTGGAGTGTTAAGTACGGGAGGATGTTATTCACTGAGGGAGATACCTGTAGTGTTAAGTACAGGAGGATGTTATTCACTGAGGGAGGTACCTGGAGTGTTAAGTATGGCAGGATGTTATTCACTGAGAGAGATACCTGGAGTGTTAAGTATGGCAGGATGTTATTCCCTGAGGGAGATACCTGTAGTGTTAAGTAAGGGAGGATGTTACTCACTGAGTGAGAGACCTGGAGTGTTAAGTACGGGAGGATGTTATTCACTGAGGGAGATACCTGTACGGGAGGATGTTATTCACTGAGGGAGATACCTGGAGTGTTAAGTACGGGAGGATGTTATTCACTGAGGGAGATACCTGGAGTGTTAAGTATGGCAGGATGTTATTCACTGAGGGAGATACCTGGAGTGTTAAGTATGGCAGGATGTTATTCACTGAGGGAGATACCTGGAGTGTTAAGTATGGCAGGATGTTATTCACTGAGTGAGATACCTGGAGTGTTAAGTACGGGAGGATGTTACTCACTGAGGGAAATACCTAGAGTGTTAAGTACGGGAGGATGTTACTCACTGAGGGAGATACCTGGAGTGTTAAGTACGGGAGGATGTTATTCACTGAGGGAGATACCTGTACGGGAGGATGTTATTCACTGAGGGAGATACCTGGAGTGTTAAGTACGGGAGGATGTTATTCACTGAGGGAGATGCCTGGAGTGTTAAGTATGGCAGGATGTTATTCACTGAGGGAAATACCTGGAGTGTTAAGTATGGCAGGATGTTATTCACTGAGGGAGGTACCTGTAGTGTTAAGTACGGGAGGATGTTATTCACTGAGGGAGATACCTGTAGTGATAAGTACGGGAGGATGTTATTCACTGAGGGAGATACCTGTAGTGTTAAGTACGGGAGGATGTTATTCACTGAGGGAGATACCTGGAGTGTTAAGTACGGGAGGATGTTATTCACTGAGGGAGATACCTGGAGTGTTAAGTACGGGAGGATGTTATTCACTGAGGGAGATACCTGGAGTGTTAAGTACGGGAGGATGTTATTCACTGAGGGAGATACCTGGAGTGTTAAGTACGGGAGGATGTTATTCACTGAGGGAGATACCTGGAGTGTTAATTACGGGAGGATGTTATTCACTGAGGGAGATACCTGGAGTGTTAAGTACGGGAGGATGTTATTCACTGAGGGAGATACCTGGAGTGTTAAGTACGGGAGGATGTTATTCACTGAGGGAGATGCCTGGAGTGTTAAGTATGGCAGGATGTTATTCACTGAGGGAGATACCTGGAGTGTTAAGTATGGCAGGATGTTATTCACTGAGGGAGGTACCTGTAGTGTTAAGTACGGGAGGATGTTATTCACTGAGGGAGATACCTGTAGTGATAAGTACGGGAGGATGTTATTCACTGAGGGAGATACCTGGAGTGTTAAGTACGGGAGGATGTTATTCACTGAGGGAGATACCTGGAGTGTTAAGTACGGGAGGATGTTATTCACTGAGGGAGATACCTGGAGTGTTAAGTACGGGAGGAGAATGTTATTCACTGAGGGAGATACCTGGAGTGTTAAGTACGGGAGGATGTTATTCACTGAGGGAGATACCTGGAGTGTTAAGTACGGGAGGATGTTATTCACTGAGGGAGATACCTGGAGTGTTAAGTACGGGAGGATGTTATTCACTGAGGGAGATACCTGGAGTGTTAAGTACGGGAGGATGTTATTCACTGAGGGAAATACCTGGAGTGTTAAGTACGGGAGGATGTTATTCACTGAGGGAGATACCTGGAGTGTTAAGTACGGGAGGATGTTACTCACTGAGGGAGATACCTGTAGTGTTAAGTACGGGAGGATGTTACTCACTGAGGGAGATACCTGGAGTGTTAAGTACGGGAGGATGTTATTCACTGAGGGAGATACCTGGAGTGTTAAGTACGGGAGGATGTTACTCACTGTCTGGTACTTCCAACACTCGCAGCTCTGCATCACACAATGTAAATTGATCTATTTGTTATATAACAATTATAATTAAAAGTAAGACTCCTGTGCAATAGTTAGGTATATTAATTACAAAATGTTTCACCTAGAGAGTAGGCTTCTTCAGTCGAATGCAGAGGAGTCAGCAGAAGCAAAGAAGTAGTTTTGAGGGGAGTCAGTCCCTCAGCCTAAAGAAGAATTCTGCTCCAGTGTTGTCCAGGCTGAGGGACTGACCACCTCAGAGATACGTCTTCGATGGTGATATACTCATTAGACAGTGTTTACATTTCTACTGCTTCTGCTGTCTCCTCTGTATTCGACTGAAGAAGCCTACTGTGTAGGCGAAAAGTTTGGAAATAAAGACACCTAAGCTTTTCTATATGCGTCTTACATGTCAACTTGTTAGTTTTATATATAAACATTATCATATCAACAAATATATGAGTTGATTACGTGATGTGTGTTTAACTTTCAAAGTTACGTACAAATATCTGTTGGTTTAGAAAGACACGTAAGCAAACACTATAACATATTTATTAGAAAACGTTTCGGTCCTGGGACCTTGATCACTAATCGCCGTCACCGACACTATAGAACGCAACACTGGAAACTACAAAATTTCAAAAACATTGGCATACATGATACTTAAGCAGCACCAACCCAACAACACAGGAGTCACATGATTTCATCGTCTACCCGTCCTCATCATAGGTAGAGGTTGTTTTGATAAGGACCTGCCTCGCATGGGCCAGTAGGCCTTCTACAGTGTTCCTCCATTCTTATGTTCTTATGACATTCCTCAGGTCACTGACTTTCTTGGGTTATCCTGGGTGGCTAACCCTCCGGGGTTAAAAATCCGAACGAAATCTTATCTTATCTTATCTTATCACGTGCGTCACATCTCACTCTCCGCCTATATATATAATGTCTTTCTACCTCTGTATGTTAGAAGTGATCAAGGTCCCAGGACCGAAACGTTTTCTAATAAATATGTTATAGTGTTTGCTTACGTGTCTTTCTAAACCAACTTGTCGGTATTTATTACAAAGGTTTATACCACAAATATCTGTGTTTACGCTAATGATTATATTCCTTAAATATACCCAGTAGACATACCCAGCTACTGATACTCAGTAGACATACCCAGCTACTGTCACCCAGTAGACACACCCAGCTACTGATACCCAGTAGACACCCAGCTACTGATACCCAGTAGACATACCCAGCTACTGATACCCAGTAGACATACCCAGCTACTGGTACGCACTGAAGACTTTTTTGTTTTACTGATTCCACCTAAAAATACACAATAAGTTATTTACTCAAATATACTCAGTTGATACTGCCCCTTTAAAGTTACTAAATTACTAATGCCCCTTTAGAGATTCATGTCCCCTCGAGATACCTCAATACTGACTCTCACACACAATACTGACTCCCTCTTACACACACAATATTGACTCCCTCTTACACACCCTCAATACTGAGAGGGATACCACCATATAGAGAGGGATACCTTTTATAGATAAACTTGCCACCATATAGAGACGGATACCTATTATAGATATACCTACCACCATATAGAGAAGGATGCCTTTGTCGTCTGGAAAAGCTGGATCGACAGTGAGGATGAAATTTGGTGTCTGAGCTAATATACCGCTACAGTGTAGTCGACGCACATGCTCAGAGGACGCATCATCAGCGGGAACAGGAGCTAGAGTTCTTTCCGCTGGTCGGAGAGATTAAGTTTGGAGTCCGAGTTAAAACCAGGAGACCACTTACGGCCGGACAAGTATTTCCGATCTCTGTGTTTTATCGTGATCGATTTTAGCTCCTTCAGGATATTGTATTGGATGAACACGACTGAATATTGATGTGTTTTAGTGTGATTGTCTCTGTAACCACTTAGTGTAGCCTCTGTCATCTTTATTGTTAGTTCTTACTTGTTTGTATATGAAACATACTTGTTTGTACATGAACCATACCTGTTTGTACATGAACCATACTTGTTTTTGCATGAACCATACTTGTTTGTGCATAAGAACATAAGAAAGAAGGAACACTGCAGCAGGCCTACTGATCCATGCGAGGCAGGTCCAAGTCTCTAACCGGCTTAAGCC